ATCTATCTATCTATCTATCTATCTATCTATCTATCTATCTATCTATCTTCTATCTATTTATCTATCATCTTTCTGTTCACACAGAATGTAATCAAATTGCTTGAAGAAAAAACACTGATTTCTCCACCGGCTAATTTAATATTAGTACAGAGTATGCTTCTGCTAGCTGATATAATGAGAACAGAAACAGAAGATGGTTCAGAATCATCTAAAACTGACCAGTTAAATGTATTAGTTCAGGCACACGCACTAGTAATTAAACAGGTAAGTATATACTAATAATTGAATATTACTATATTTTTTCAGTGTTCACTGCTTAAATACAAATAGCACTGACCTTTCCAACATTGGAAAGGCTTAAATTGTGATGATTTTCATCAGTCTCATCCTCAGCTACTGCATTTTTAAGTTTAAAATGGAATGTTAAATATAAAACAAAAATAATGTCATATATTGGTGGACTTTTAAAACCAGGCCAGGAATCAAATCACATTAAATTTTGTTTTTGAAATTGTGCCAAGTATGCAAAGGAAGGGTGGAGTTCAGATGGATCGTGTGGCAGGAACCTTTTACTGTTTTGATCTTTTGCATCTAGACTATGCTCTGTAAACAAATTGTATTTCAAACTCTTAGAAGAAATGTATGTTCCTTTTATCACATTTGTATATGGCAGATGCAAGTGTATGTATATGGATAGATAAAAAGTGATAGAAAGATTGGTAAAGTTACTGTCAGATTTGTGGGTCTGATCAGGGGTGGGATGCTACTAGTTCGGCCAGGTTCTATAGAACCTGTAGCTGCGAAGAGCAGCTGACACCGAACAGGTTCGGTGTTTGGCCCACCCGCCTGCCCGAGCTCTAGTCTGTCCTTTATTCCCTGCTTTTCCCTCCTCAGCTGCTTTGAGCAGCACCGCTGAGGTTGAAAAAGCAGGAAACAAGAGGATTTTCAAACACTCCGCACCCGAGCGCAGTGCTTGTCAGCTGTCCAGGTGGCATAGCTGATGATTTCTTGCAAACATTGTACACACGATTGTCCCAAGTTCAGAGAACTGCAAACCACTCCACTGGCTGGCCCCTCCCCTCCCCTCCCACTCATTCCTTACCTGGCATGTGAGCCATCCAACTTGCCTGGCTTGGTAAGTTGCTATTTTTCCTCTTTTTTCATGACTATCAGCTGTTCTGCTCTGCCAGGAGATTTAGATTAGCTAGAAAGCAGGAAATCCTTGGATTTGTTGCTTTCTAGCTAATCTAAAAGCAGAGCCGAAGCTTCCTTAGGAAGCCGAAGCTTTTCAGTGCAGACTCAGGTAGCCGATTGCAGATAGATAGATCTCTAAGTGTGATTCTGTGAGCAATTTAATCTGCCTGCCTGCTTTGCCTGCTTTTGGGTAAAAGTTCTTTTTTATAAAAAAATCAATATATACATGGTGTATTGTGAGTTAATTTTGTGAGTTTGCAAGTAAATTTTATGTGACAGACTCAGATAGCCAATTGCAGATAGATGAATCTCTAAGTGAATCTGTAATTCTGCGAGCAACTCAATCTGCCTGCCTGCTTTGCCTGCTTTTGGGTAAAAGTTGCTCTTTTTTAATAAAAAAATCAATATTTACATAAATATTTATAATATTTACATACAAACCATGCCCACCCAGTCACATAACCCACCAAGCCATGCCCAGTCAGCAAGCCACCACGCACCCAGTCACAAGACCACCAAGCCACACCCACAAATTAGGCCACATCCACAGAACTGGTTGTTAAAAAGTTTGAATCCCACCCCTGGATCTGATCCTGAACTCCCTGATCCAAACGTTCTTGATTTGCCATTCAGTTGTTCAATTGGAAGAAAATATAATCATTTTTAAATTTACTGAAACTAGTTTACCATGAATGGATTATTTTTGGAATATAATTGAAATATAAGAATTAGATACACAAATATTAATTACAAGTTTTTGTTTTATTTAGTTGGAAACAGTATTAGTTGAGCTCTTCATATAATACCATAACATGGAGTGTTCTTCATTCCCACAGACCTCTGTTAAATTTTTTCTCTAAAGAGTTAGTGATCAGAGCTTAATGAGCATTAGGGAATTTTGAGAATATTTCTGCTCCAATTATCTATATATCATACAAATTTTAATTTGCGTTTATATTGAGGCTCAGAGGACATAGTTGGCCAAAGTCAAATTCTGATTTTTTTGTAAGTTTTTTTAAAGGAAAGTACTTTCTTCTTTTCTTATGGACACTTCAGTGAAGCTTTTAAGTATGAAGTGGGAAATGATCTATTTAGACATTAAGATATATTCATGTGACTTCTCATTTTCCAGCCATTCCCTTCTCTTTGTCTTTTTCCCTAGTCAGTAAATTGCTGTCCCATGCTGTTGGGCTATTATGAGTTATTATGGGGCTAAATGATTTGTCCCTTAGGGTATTTTGATAATGTGCTTATCTTTTGTTACAAAATTTGATATTTTCAATAGCTGTTTATTTTGGGGCAATCACTTGAACAACATAGACAAGATCCTACTTTAACAACTCTAAAAATGCCTATGATGAACATATATCTCCCACATATCGCATTACTGGCAAAAGTCAAAATGAGAATTGGTAAGGACTGTTTAATACAATACAAACTTTTGTTATTTCTGAAGATTATTACTATACTTAAGTTATTTAATGTATGTGGAATCTATTAATTTCATATATAAAGTTATACTATAACTTTTTCGCTAGCATCGATACATATAAAGACATTTTAAAAACATCTTTCTATAACTTACTATGCCTACAACTATTTTGTGTTTCATATTTTTTGATAATTTATAGCAGATATAAACTATGTAAAATGAACAGGATAATGTTTAATGAAGTTATATTAAAATAATCTTTTTTATAAGACAGAAATCCTAATTCTTCAGTCAAACATAGAAGCAAAGTCTTACTCAATTATGGAAGCTAGATAAATGTTATTTTAATACATTTATATAACCACCCAATTCACACACTGGTGGCTCACAAGATTTAAAATCCACAACATAAAAACCATAAAATCCCAACCTCCATGGCAACACACCCAAACCAACCACTTGATCACTCACTTTTGTAAAATCAGAAGCTTTGCTTTGAACTGTAGCACCTCTTTTCTAAAAGGCAGAGCTGCAGAAATTAATTGATCTGTTGCTTCTTTCCTTAGTACATTCTTTCATAGACTACCAGATTTTCCTGTTTTCAAGAATGAGCTAGTTGTAAATGTCACTGCACAACTGTTATGTTTTCCTTTGAGTAATGAAAAGTATTGATGGAATAAACAGATATAATGGAGTGAGAATTAAGAAAATATAAATCATATGGAAATTATGTTATTTTGTATTTAACATCAACATTCCATGGAAATCCTTTGCAAAGGGGTTTGTTTCAAAGATAAATTGACTTTCAATTATTCCAATTCACATGTTACGTTAATTAATATATTGTTGAGTCCAACAGTTTTTTTTAATTCCATAAATTTTTGAATTGGCTGTAGTGTCTGATTAATACATAGTATGAATCACTTGTAATTATGAGGGTTTCACAAGATCTGAAATCTTTTGAAAATTGGGACTGAATTAATTAATACATTGCTGATTGTTGGCTTAGCATTATTCTTGTTCTTCTGTGGGCGCAATTCATCATTTTCTACAGGAAGTCCTTGCTTATCAACCATTCATTCAGTGATCATTCAAAGTTATGATGGTGGTGAAAAAATAGCTTTACAGCCATTTATGACTATATATGACTTTTTCCCTCAGGCAACATGATCACTGTTACAGTCAGATGTTGTTCTCCTGTGTCTGAGCTGCATTATTTTTTCCCCTTTTGCAGAGCAGAAAGATTGGAGAGGAATTGCAAGAAACTACAATTTACAGTACACTCATGAAATCATTTTTTTCCTCAATGTCTCCTCTCTGTGAGGGGAAGGGAGAGAAAAAAAAGCAAGCAATTTCTATGGGCAGTCATTCTTTTGCTTAACACTTTCCTGCTGCTGGCATAGGCAAATTGCTTTTAATGTATAGAAGAACAAAACAGCTGGAAAGCACATCATGGTTATATTTCCCACTTAGCGACTGCTTTGCTTAGCAGTGGAGTTGCTGGTCAGAGTTGGAATTATTAAGCGAGACACTACATGTATGGAGTTTAGAGAAAATATAAGTATGCGCTCCTAAATTCCAGTTGCAAAATACTATATATGTCTGGAATAATTCATTTCTTGTATTAAGGGGCTACATTTTATTTATTCAATGTTTGACTTTTATTTTGCTTTAGAATTGGTGAAATAATTTCCTGTAAATTGATTTCTAGGGCATACTTTAACTTTAGAATTGTCATGTAAATCCAAACCTCAGAGTGAGTTGCAGTGGGTAAAAGCCCTACAATACACAGAAACAGCACTAAAACTTTCTGTAGCATCAGTAAAAGAAGATTTAGATCTAGAAGCTGAACTTCTTTTTCGAAAAGGTAAAATCCTTTTTTTTCTATAAACTGCTCAAATTTCATGTTGCATCTGAGACCTAGAGAGTTGGTAATCTAGCTCCCTAACAATTTATAGTATTCTGTTTTGTATACTCTGCTTCATATTGCAAAGTATTGTATGTATAGCTCCCCCTGCCTAATTAAGTTATAAATATATGTCTTGATATCCAATAATTGTCAAGCCCCAGGGAAATCAGAAAATCCAGGCAGTTTTAATGAGTATAAGCTCATTGCAAGTTTAAGCACTCTACAAGAATCTGAACTACTACTACTCAAAGCAGATTGGTGGTAGATAAGAGTCAAAAAAAATGAAGGTGGGCTGATCTTAAATCTCTTGTGGGCATAAAGGGACTCATGATTGATGATGACCCCTTCCTCAGGCTCAGCCTGATCATTTCCTACATCAACTTTGCATTGTATGCTAAATGTAAATCTGATGCAGAATTTAATTGAACCTAGAAATCTTTGGGTTACAATTCTAAATATATACTTGTGGTATAAGTTTGAGTTTCTCTTAACATAAAATCTTAATATGCTAGTTCTTAATAATCTATTAGATGAAATTGGATTTTCAGCTCCTTAATAGAATTTACTGTCATTCTTAATTTTATTTTATGATTTATATTGTGTTGATTCCTACTATTGATATTCATATATCATGTGGATTTTATCAGTGATCTGTAGTTTTCTGTAATCTGTAGTTTGTAGTTTTCTATAGTTTAAGTTACTTAAAAATAATTAATGAAATATTTAACATTGAAACTTAATTCCTTGAATACTTGTAAATTCCATTTCCTCATTTGTGTTTTATTTTTCTTTTCTTTGCCGTTGCCTTTAAAAAAATTCTTAAGAAAATATAACTGAAAAGAAAACAATATTCTGCTTTATTAGCTCTATCAGGAAAAAACAAATCTCTTTAAATAAATTCATATATGTCATTTTTAGGAAGAATAGAACGACAACTTGATTCATTAGGTCTTAATAAATCAGAATTAGCTGTTGACAGCTTGTTGGATGCCATAAATTTAAGCCTGCTGAGTTACCAGCACTATGGGTGAGCAGTTTTTTTCCCCCTATGTCCTTTAGACTAGTATGTCAATTAAAAGAAAATAATAATTAAAACATACAATTTACCCTGAAAAGTCCAGACCATAAGACATTTAAAAGGCTTGGATGAATAAAACTTATTCACTTAAAAATATAAATTAAGTGTTTGCCAAATGCTAACATAAGATGTTTGGATTCCTTGCTTTTTCATTTATTTTTTGAAGATTAATAAGAAGATCATACATGGAGATAGCACTGCTTTACTTTTATTTATGTACAAACAAGGAAGAGTCTCCTACTTCAGGTACTGTGAAAGGAAGAACATTTAAGCAGAGGGTATGTATAATTGTTTTTAAGGCTAACCATATATTTAAACATCAAGTTTAGTATTATGTTACAGATCTATAAAGATATATGCCTGAATATAGAGACATTGTTATTGATTTTTGCAAAGCTCCTGCATCTGGTTTACATGAAGTTGAATTGATTTGAGGGGTCAAAATGTCAAGACAGTGAGCAAGGTAACATGATTGAAATCCTATCGTTGTTGTATAAGAATCAATGTTATATATACAGCAGCCCTTGTTCACATTTACAATGGTGGGAAAAAAGAAATTTGCAACCAATCCTAGCAACTGCTCCATTTAACAATCTAGTTGCTGCTCCTAATTGTGGTTGCTCAATGAGCCATGGTGCAAAGAGCAAATGAGGAGAAAGGTAGGTAGGTAGATAGATAGATGGATGGATAGATAGATAGATAGATAGATCTATAATCATGCTGCTGTTATTATCATTTGATTTTATTTACTTAACTCCTACAGACACTTCTGCATATATTATATAGATATATCAGAAGAAAATATACCAGAAGAAAACACACACCAACCACTACCTAAATGCTCAATTCTACCACCACCCAGCACAAATAAACTCCATAGCCAAAACACTAATAACCAGAACCGAACGCCTGGCAGACAAAGCATATATAAAGACTGAACTATGCACCCTGACCAAAATACTGATAGCTAACGGTTCCACAAAAACAAAATCACGGACCTGATCCACAAAAACACACTGAAACACAATAGAAGATGAACAAACCTGAACAGCTGTCCTGCCCTACATAAGAGGAACAACAGACAAAATCAGCAAGATACTACGTAGGCATCACATCAAGACTGCCTTCAAAATGGACAAAAAAATAGCAGCCATCCTAAGAAACCCCAAAGATAAAATTGACCTAGAAAACCAAGGCATATATGAAGTACCCTGCGCATCATGCCCTGCCACATACATAGGACAACAGAAGGATAAGTACCCGTCTTGAAGGACACAAGAATGCAATAAAAAAGCTGGAACACACTTCCTCACTCGTCCAACATATGAAAGCCATAGGTCATAGCATCGACTTCAATGGCACCAAAACCCTAGCTACTATAGAAAACCCCGGCCACAGAAGCTTTGGAGAAGCCATAGAAATTGATAAAAGACCTAATAGCATGAATAGAAGAGATGACTCCACCAGTCTATCAATCATCTGGAAGCCTGCACTCACAAACAAAAAAATCTCTATACCACAATCCAGGCAAGCACCTGGACACAAACAGACCCCCCCCCAATACCTCCAGCCCAAACACGTCTCAGCCAGCTACCCAAATAAAACCTAGCTTCCTAATAAATAATTATCGGCCATTCACAAGAAACCAAGCTGCACTAAGAAACCCCAATGCACAAAACACAATGTTGCCAACCAATCAAGAAGACAGCAACTCGAAGACCAATAAAAACAGACCTAGACTCCCAGCCAATCAGGATGAGGAAAAAACCATTCAAATAAAGCAGAAAGCCAGCACCAAATTCAAACAAAAAATGGCTGCCAAGCCTGACACACAAGATTAAAAAGAACCCAATACACAAGCCTGAGGATGGCAGATAAGATTCTGCTGAAATGTCGCTATAATAAAAGCACAAATATTAAGGCATGGGAAAATATCTGAAGAAACCTATATGCCATACATATAAATACCTGCGAAAAAATCACACACACACACACACACAAAATACGGTATTACATTACAAACACTACTACATATATTACCCTGCAGTTCTCAACTTTTTTGGTTTCAGGACTACTTTATATTTTTGAAAATTGATTGACAACTCCAAGGAGCCTTGATTTATGTGGTTAAATTTATCAATATATACTGTATTAGAAATTAAGACTCAGAAATGTCAAAATATTTATTTAACTTTGTGGACCCTCTGAAAGGACCTCAGCTTGAGAAGAACTGTATTATGCTGATCCCTGGAATATTGATGTAGAATGTTGTTGTTAGTTGCGAGGCCGTGTCCGACCCATTGTGGCCCCATGGACAACAATCCTCAAGGCCTTCCTATCCTCTATCATCTTCTGGAGTCCATTTAAGCTTATGCCTACTGCTTCAGTGACTCCATCCAGCCACCTCATTCTCTGTTGTCCCCTTCTTCTATTGCCTTCAATCTTTCCCAACATTAGGCTTTTCTCCAGTGAGTCCTTCCTTCTCATTAGGCGGCCAAAGTATTTGAGTTTCATCTTCAGGATCTGGCCTTCTACAGAGCAGTCAGGGTTAATCTTCTCTAGGACTGACCAGTTTGATCGCCTTGCAGTTCAAGGGACTCGCAGGAGTCTTCTTCAGCACCATAGTTCAAAGGCCTCAATTCTTTGGTGCTCAGCTTTTCTTATGGTCCAACTTTCACAGCCATACATTGCAACTGGGAAAACCTTGACTATGCACACTTTGACTATGCACACTTTTGTTGGCAAGGTGATGTCTCTGCTTTTTAGTGTGCTGTCTAGATTTGCCACAGTTTTCCTCCTCAGGAGCAAGCGTCTTTTAATTTCTTGGCTGTAGTCCCCATCTGTGGTGATCTTGGAGCCCAGGAAAATAAAATCTGTCACTATCTCCATTTCTTACCCATTTATTTGCCAGGAATTGAAAGGGCCAGATGTATCTAAGTGCAAATCCACATAGCTCCCTTGCCTGGTATGAGGACAATCTATTAATATGTCTCTGAGCATATATCTACAGGCCTCTCTTCTATCTGTCCCTTCCACAATTCACCCAGCTCAAGAATAGTTGGAATGCTATGATATTTTCCTGAATATCCCACATCAAGATAATGTGTATAAATGGGCATTGCAGAACTGGCCTGAAATCATCTGCTCCATACCAAGAGATCTTGTAGCTCCAATGGATTCTGCTAGTTGTCTGTGGAATCATTTCCTTCAGTCAGCTCCCTAACATTTCTCTGTCTTCCTTTGGCTGCAAAAGAGACCAGAACTCTTTTTTTTGAAGCCACTTTGTTTGTAAATATATTGGTTTACTGGTAATCTAATATGAAGACATGAAACTAGCCTGTGATTGGCTTAACACCAACAATAAGTAATTGAAACTAAATAAAAATACTTGACTCTTTCGATAGACTACCTGGAAGGAAATTTCCTTCTCATTAGCTGCTGTTTTCAGGAAAGTCCAAGTTTCTCACATCATACCCTGCCGTTATATTTTTAGGATACTTTAAGTTCCCACTCTCATGGGAAAGATACCCTACATTCACTACCAAACTGGACGTCTCTCCCTCCCACCCCTCAATTGAACTGTTTAAAGTGGCCTTATGAAAACATTCACAGGAAGCTAAATAGACCGAGAATGACAATAGGGGGAAGAATCAGACAAGAACTGTGGCCCAGTAAATTACATTGTTTCTATTCACCAATCACATCTCTGAGATAATATACACTGCTCAAAAAAATAAAGGGAACACTTAAACAACACAATGTAACTCCAAGTCAAACACACTTCTGTGAAATCAAACTGTTCACTTAGGTAGCAACACTGATTGACAATCAATTTCACATGCTGTTGTGCAAATGGAATAGACAACAGGTGGAAAGCAGAGGCAGTTAGCAAGACATCCTCAATAAAGGAGGCACGTGGAAGCCACACACACTACTGAGCCTCATTTTGACTTGTTTTAAGGACATTACATCAAAGTTGGATCAGCCTGTAGTGTTTCTTTCCCACTTTAATTTTGAGTGTAACTCCAAATCCAGACCTCCATGGGTTGCTAAATTTGATTTCCATTGATAATTTTTGTGTGATTTTGTTGTAAGCACATTCAACTATGTAATGAACAAAGTATTTAATAAGAATATTTCATTCAGTCAGATCTAGGATGTGTTATTCGTGTGTTCCCTTTATTTGTTTGAGCAGTGTAGATAGCATCTTAACCTAGTAGGAAGAAAAATAATAAAAGATCACCCAGTGGGATCTACGTAAATCATTTTGCCTTTACTCAAGGTTGCTCAACAAGCTGTTAATGCTTTTCTGGGAGTCTAGTGTTCACCTTTTTATTGTTTGCATGCTAATAAAATATTATCATCATCAAACTGCGTTGCTTCAGGTAAAGCCAGGTTGTAACCACAGTACCACAGTAATCTGCACAATTAATTCCCTGTCTCAAATGCCAGCTGTTCAGCATAATTTCAACTGCTCATGTGTCTTGGTTTCACAGCTTCTGATAACCAGTGCTAGCAGCCAAAAAATACAAAATGTCCCTCTTGTCTGCCATGGGTAAAATAGTTGAGGAATTGGCCCAACAAGTTAAAAGAATAATGTACAAAATTTCAACAGGAGTGTAGTGATTCAACAGGAGAGAACAAAGCTGTTACTTTACTATATTAAATGATATTAGTGGTTGAAGTGTGATATTTAATGCCTAGGACATTTTGGAAAATGTGTAACTTCCTTGAAATATGAAATATATTTATTTACCACTATTGCAAATATATTTATTTTTAATTCTTTCTCCATCCTAGTTGCTCTTTGCCATTCTGGCATGTCATTTTATTTGGAGTAAACATGCAAGCATATTTATCACTGAAACATTGTGTCGCGTTTATTTAACATTTTTAAATTCTAAGAAGGTTTTTGATGCCAGAGGCCTTCTCAGAAGTAAAATTCAGTTACTTTCATCAGTTACTTTCAGTTACTTTCAGTTACTGTCATCTTTCAGTTTGCAGCATGCTAAATTTGTTTTTTTAAATGAAAAGAATTTAAAAAAAATAATGTCATGTGAGACAGGGACCTTTGGGAAATTTTTTGAGGGTACAATAGTACTTTTTAGCACCGTATTGAGGAGTCTTAGCCACAGTTTCAGAGTGTTTATTCTGTACTGAAATTGCTGGGAACTGAATGAATGTCAGGTACCTTTCTGAAACAAGCAAACAAAAGTGCTGTTCCATTTAAGGGACAGAGCATAAGGAAAAAGAACATAAACCATTAAGTGGTAATTTTCTACACACTTACATTTGAGTAAATCAATAAAGTTTATTTCAGAGTAGATCAGGGGTGTCAAAATCACAGCATCATGGCAGTGTCACGTGATGTACCAGAACTTTCCCCCCTTTGCTAAGCCAGGTGTGGGTGTGGTCAGCACGTGACACATCTGGCCATGGTCTGGGAGTTTGACAGCCTTGGAGTAGATATATATGTTTCCATTAAGGTTGATTGTATTTTCATAGCATTTCAGAAGTTTTTCTTGTAGGATAATTTTTTAAATGTACATAGATGCTCTTTCTCATAATTTATCATTTTGTACCAATGTGAATCAATCTTTGTTACATTTAGCTTAACAGACATCCAAGTACTTCTGCAGATATTACTGTTCTTGAAATGTACAGAGTACAAGCCTGGATTGCTGTAAGAAGTGCTGCACAGGTTTGTGGTGTTTTTTGTTAAATCTGATTTATCTTCGCTTATTTTTTTTCCATGTAGCTTTCTAATGGAAAAACAGGGAATTTATAATTTACTTTGAAAGGAATAAAGGAAGGATATAATGGCAGTATTTTGTATCTTTTATATGCAGATCGTTTTGTTTAGCAATGGTTCACAGTGATGAAAAAGTAACTTTATAACAAATCCACACATTTGTGACTTCACAGATCTGTAAAGCAAAGGAAAGCTAAAATAAGATTGTATACATAATCACTGTTTCACTTAGTGACTGTTTTGCTTAATAACTTAGTTGCTGGCCCCAGTAAGTCACTAAATGAGGATTACCTTTATTAGACAAGTGTTGTTATTTCAATTTTAAGATTATTTTTGCATCATTAAGATATGTTAAAACTGACAAAATCATAATGGCTGGTTTCAGCAATGTTGCTGTTCAAATTATTTTACATTGTAAAGGTTCATTTACTAATTATCATTTGCAAATTTTAAATACTGTATTTCAAGGCTTCTCTTCAGTATAGAATCAGAAATCTTCTTTTAGTATGTTTAACAGTGGTTGTTCACCTCAACGTTTGACTCCGATTAGAAGATTAATTAGTCTAGTACAGTAGTTTGTATATGTTTCTAGTTTTAAGTTTACTATTTTAAATCTAGGTCAGTGAAGCAATTCTGACCTCTCAGCAATTAACTGGCAGAAAGGCTGTTAAATTGTATCACATGAGACAAAGAATACAACAAAATATGCCTGAATTTGCTCTTCTGGATCTCAGTTCTTCTTACAAAGATTTTTTGTCTGGTATTTACTTTTTCATATTATATTGTTACCTGGTCTAAATGTTGATACAATAGAGAATTAGAGTGTCATGACTGTCCATTTTAGGTGACGGAGGGGAAAAGGCACAGTGACAAAAATGGATATTTTTCTTGTTTTTAAGTAATAAGAAAAAAAATTGCCTCTTATAGCCCTAAACAAGTCCATATAAATCTAATTTCAATTATATTGTTCATAAATACTGCAATATTTTTCTGGCTGAGATAATTTAATTAATTTTCTAGTTATCCCTATAGAACTATTGTTAAATGGTATTGGTAGTATGTTATTATGCTTTTGATCTCAAACTTCACGTGTTTGCATGTCAGTAATAAGTTGTTTCATAATGCTATCAGTTGTTGAAATAAAGCAATCATTAAAATATACAGCAAATGTATGATCAAACTTAGAGGAAAAAAACAATCACGCTGTTGCTTAAAATGCAGTAAAGATATTGGTTTACATAAGTGTGTATATTACAAGATACAGGATTTAGACAGCTAAGTTTGGCACGATCAGAAGGAAATGGCTGAAACCAGATTAGTCAACAACCGTAAGATAGCCATGTAATAATTAAAGCCTTCACTATTGGCAGAGGATTATTGGGTAGCACTGATAGGCTACCCAAAATATGCTTACAGGAACAGAGACAATGGGGCTTACAATTTTGAGAATCCTTATGAATTTTCAATATTCGGCATAAATGTGAACCAAAATATGATCTGTTCTCCGCACATCTAAAATTCGATATACAGAATCCAATTAAACAATGAGTTAAAAACATTATACTTGTACATTTATCCATTGAAGAAAATGATCACACACTGCCTGTGTATTACACGTCTGCATTACAACTCTGTACCTCTGACCAGAGCTCTGCACCTATGTATTAGAGCTAATTCTATTGCTAAATTTAGCATAGTATAAATCCTTAAAATTTACTGTAGCTACAGTGTTTTATTTAATTTTTTTCAAATATTCCATACTCTAGGAAAATATGAAGTTACTTATAAAATTCCCGTGGTGTGTTCTGTACAAGAGACAAAATCAGAAAGTAATGGAGTTGAAAGAGTCGCTTCTAAAGAAAGCCAGGGCAGACTGGAAATACCTTGGCTTCATGTACTACGCTACCATACATACTTAACCAGGTTTTTGAACCTGACTCCGCTGGCTGGTAGGAATATATCTTAAACTTTTAATATTATGCTACAACCAGGTCTATTGTTTCTATAAAATAGTATACCCATATTCCAGAATCAGTATTTTGATAAAATTACACAAACGAAACTAGCTTTATTGTTTGATTGTTTTCCTAAGTATAAAAATGCTGCATTTTTAAATTTATGGATTATCACCCATCTTTTCATGTATTAATAAGGTGTTTCCTTTTAAAAATGCAGTTTTGTAAAGGATTTTTTATTTCCGCTTAATTTAGCCATTGTACACAAATACCAAGGAACATTAGGAAATCATGCAATTTCCCAGAATCCCCTCCACTTTTGACCTGCTTGTAGGCTTTAGACTTAGATTACTATAAATAGTACAAATGGAATAGCAGGGATAGTAGTGTTGGACAGTGTTTTAAATCAATGTAGAATTGATATTTTTCATAAGAAAGATATTAACCCTCTGAGTACAATGTCTAGTACATGGGTGTCTAACCTCTTGGCTTGACTGGACTCATTGAGGGAGGAAGAATGATCTTGGGTCACATATGAAGTATATAATATAGTTAATGTATATAAATCACACAATAATGTTAAAAGTTTATGATCCTGTGGGGATGTATTACTAGCTGCCCAGGGCCACATGTGGGCCACATTATGGACATGCTTGGTCTAGCATTTCTAGATAATTCTGTGGAACAGACTTCACTAAAATGCAAGAAGAATTCATGATGATTAATATAGACTAATACACCACTCCATATTTAGCAACTATCTTTAATTAGCAGCCATTTGCAAATACAATAATAATAAAATTCATTTTCTGAAAATGTATGCATTTACAATCAATTTTTAATACATGCCAGACTGAGAGTAACACTGGGTAGCTGTATGAGAGAACTTTATCAAGATGACACAGCTGCAACCAGTGATCTTTGCAGTGTCTCCTCCTGTCTCAGGTGTTCACTTAACAACCAAGTCTTTGGAACAAGACTTGGTCACTAAATAAGGAGAGGGTAAATAGAAGTGATTTAAATGAATCAACGATTCTAAGAAAAAATATGGCCTAGGACTTACCACTAATGTTTCTAAATGTCCCAAGATCCGAGAAAAACTGATGGCAGGCCTGAAAGTTACCGAAGTACACACTATAATTTCATGTGAGATATTATTACTTTGATTTATTCCTCATGATTAGTAATGTCTCAAAAAATCTGCTTTGAAATGCAGGTAAGCTATTTTGTAATTTTTATAACATGGTAGATCATACATATTGCTATAAAATTCCAGCTAAATAAATGAATACATACATACATACATACATACATACATACCTGTACTGTTGTTTTCCACAGCTGTCCCAAAAGCAGGAAAAGGCTTATTTGCTAAAGAAGATGTGCTGTACACCTCAGTGTTTGACACAACAATTGCCCTGCGCTTGGCAAGACTTCATTCTTTTTTAAAAAGCCATTTGCCCATTTATTCTGGCTGCTGTCTTCAAGAGCCTCCAAAACAGCTGTATGGTTTGGAGAAGCCTTTCTTTAGCATGACTGCAATTGGAAAGGTAACTTGAGATTTAATTATAATTTAAAATGTATTGATACATAATTTTCCATTTGTCTGTAAAATATATAAGATATCTAATAAAATTATTATATGATTTATTTATTCTACAAAAGCTGCCAAAGGGGTTTTGTTTTGGTTTTTTGACATCAGGATAGAAATATGTTTTATTAAATATTAAGAACCATCACATAAATCATAAAAAGAATTTACAATAGAAAAGAAAATATATGATTATGATATGATTATGATGTGGTCATTATTTGCCTGTGCTGTGAAGAATTAATTTATTACTTGAGCAATATCAAGTAATTTTTTAAACTGGTGAAATGGGCAGCCATATAAATTTGATTAATAAATGAAGCCTATCTTTTACCATTTTTGGGGGGGGGGGGTAGGAAAAAGATTTTTTGACATTTTTAATACATCTGTTATATAGGTTGTATTTTAAATGCCTGAAGTCTGTTTCTAATAGTTGTTATTATAGTCCCATTTCAAACAGACATAAAATATTGTAAAATGAGTGATATGTGAACATTTACTAGACAAATCCTTAAGGAAAGAAAAATATACAACAAAATACATAAAAAGAACAAACAAATCTGTTATTACAATTATATAATGAGTTTTCCTGATATGAAAAAAAATATTTGAATGGATTAATTTCCAATTTAAGCCATGGGATATAAACTTAGTATTCTTGAGTTTCAAATTTAAAAGTTTGAAATTTATTTCTCTTATAAAAGAGCCTTAAATAAGCAAATTGTTTTCACCATCTTATTTCTAATTGTCACATTTTATTTTATTTTATTTTATTTTGGGTTGAAAGTAAGTGGAAGATGAGGTGAATAATGAGCAACGCTTCACATCGAACAAGTACATTTGTATAGCTGTTTTGAAGTTCTGAGTGTATTAATATATGATTTTTCAATCAACACAAATAGAATAATAGACTAACAGAGTTGGGTTCTTGGAGATCTTCTAATCCAACCCCCTGTTCAGTCAGGAAACCCTATAACATTTCAGACAAATGGTTGTCCAGTCTGTTCTTAAAAACCTCCAGTGCTGAAGCATCCACAACTTCTGGAGGCAGATTGTTCCACTGATTAATTGTTCCATCAGGAAATTTCTCCTTAGTTCTAAGTTGGTTCCTTCCTTGATTAGCTTCCATCCATTGCTTCTTGTTTTGCCCTCAGGTACTTTGGAGAACAGGATGACTCCCTCTTTGTGGCAGCTCCTTAGATATTGGAACACTACTATCATGTCAATCCTGGTCCTTCTTTTCATTAAACTAGACATACCCAGTTCCTGCAACTATTCTTCATCTGTTTTAACCTCCAGTCCCCTAATCACTTTTGTTGTTCTTCTCTGCACTCTCTGTAAAGTCTTAACATCTTTTTTTATACTGTAGCAACCAAAACTGGATGCAGTATTTCAAGTGTGGTCTTACCAAGGCATTATAAAGTGGTACAAACACTTCAGTGATATTGATTCTATTCCTCTATTAATGCAGCCTAGCACTATACTGGCTTTTTTTTGGCAGCTGCAGCACACTGCTGGCTCATATTTAAGTGACTGTCCATTAGGACTCCAGGATTAGGACTCCAAGGTCACTGTCACAGTTATTACTTTTGACCCAGGTATCCTGTACATTTGGTTTTTCTTGCCTAAATTTAGAACTTAACAATAGAACTTACACTTATATACTACCCTATGGCAGTTTACCAAGTCAGCATATTACCCCCAACAATCTAGTTCCTCATTTTACTGACTTCAGAAGGATGAGTCAGCCTCAATCCCTGTCAGGATCGAACTCCAGGGTGTGGGTGGAATTATATACTGCATTCTAACCACTGTCCTACCAAGGGTACATTGGTGAGAATTTTATTTTTTTCACTATGAATTTCATTATGTTAGATAGGGCCCAGTGTTCAAGTCTGTTGAGAAACTTCTGTACCTTGAGCTTATCTTCTGGAGTGTTGGCTATTTGTGGCCTGTTCCTTTCTGTTCCTTATATATAGGTAAAACCTCTGAAAAAGTAAGACTGCAGAATGCTAAATTCCTATCCCATGCTCTGGAAATCCTTCTGCACAGAAAGTACAACTCGTTTTTTTGGCTAGAGTTAGTGCCAAGTAACTGGTCTTAGTGTCAAGATGCATAACAACATCAACATCACAGTTCTTACTAGCATTCTTGACTATCTTAACAAAGTGTCTCTTTTTTATGCTGGCAGTAGCATGAGGTAGACACCTCATCTCTTTCAAAACCTCCACATCCTTTCCTAAATTGACACCTTCTAAATTGAGTCACCAGAAGATGGCTTCTCTTTTTAGATACCTTGCTCACCTCACATGGCTGATTTGCAATACCTGATTCACATCTTCTCTTACCCAAACAACTTCCTCATGAAACACAACCTCCTGCTCAGTTGAGACATTATTGTCATCACAAAGAGCTGAATCTGTCCCCTTAATATAAATATTAAGTTCAGCAAGGGCATTGTGTCTATTGTGCAGGGACACACCAAAAGCTTTATGTTTATAGTCCATAGCTCTCGCTGCCAAATCCAATACTACTATTTAAAGGATAAGCATATCTTGGATGCATATTATCATAATAAAATACTATTTTGTAGCAAATTATTAGAAGTATTACCGTGTTTCTCACAAAATAAGGCCGGGCCTTATTTTTTTTTGACCCCTGAAAAAACGGTGAGGCTGTCTTTTCGGGGGTGACTTAATTTCCTCCCCCACCTAGAGTGGCCCTTATGCACGTACCTCGCTGCGAGGCCGCTTCTATCGGCCAACGAAAGCTCCCCAAAGGCAGAGTCCCCAGCTGCTTCAGGGCGGTGGCATGGCTGCCCAGTCCCCTCGCCTTTAGGCAGTCTCTTTTGGACAATGGAAGCTCCCCAAATGCAGTCACCAACCACTTTGATCAGCCGGTAGAAGCGGCTTCAGGTGAGGGGAGTGTGTGTGTGCGCTTGCCCCGAGGCCGCTTCTACCGGCCGATCAAGTGGCTGGTGACTGCATTTGGGAAGCTTCTATCGCCCAAAAGAGACTGCCTAAAGGTGAGGGGACATGGACAGCCATGCCTTGCCCTGAAGCGGCTGGGGACTCTGCCTTCAAAGGAGCTTTCGTCTGCCGATAGAAGCGGCCTTGTGTAGAGGGGAGTGTGTGTGTGCACTCACCCCGAGGCTGCTTCTACCAGCCGATCGAAGTGGCTGGTGACTGTATTTGGGGAGCTTCCATCGCCCGAAAGAGACTGCCTAAAGGCGAGGAGACATGGGCAGCCACACCACGCCCTGAAGCGGCTGGGGACTCTACCTTCAGGGAGCTTGTATCGGCTATTGGGGTATTCTAGCCTAGGCTACCTGCAGGGCACTCCTAAAAGCAAGTTTTCTCCCCATATCCCCACGCCCTTCCCCCCCCATTTCTCTTCACCTCGTGTAGTTCTAACAAACGATGTGAGAAATGGTGGGAAAATGCATGGTTTAAATAGGCCTACATTTTGGGGGCGGGGCTTAATTTCACCTCATGCCTATTAATCATGGTGGGCCTTCCTATTGGTGGAGGCCATATTGTTGGAGGAACACGGTAGGTAGCAAATTTATTGTTTTAAACATGAAGTCAAATATTCTTATAAAGGGTTATATAACTTTTAGGGAACTCTAGGATCAAGTGGAATTTCACAGAGAACGCCATCTATGAAAATGATTTCCAGTACTTTTACTTCTGAGATAGACATGCATTCAGACAACAAAGCAACCTGTTCTCCCATGAAGGAACTTTGTGTGCAGTGGTACCTTCCATCTTTGGAAAAATCAGCAAATGAAGAAGAGACTATGGTATGATAACAAATGTTATGCTTTAACTATAAAGAACTGATGTGCATATCTACTACATTTATTTCTTAGTTTATATCCCACATTTATTATCTTTGTAAATAACTCAAGGTGACAAATATATTCAACATGCCTATATTGTCCCCTGTACATGATGCATGTTCCACATTATTTTTCTATTACAGGTAAAATTGATTAAAAGAAAAATTGCAGCAAGCAAGCAACTAAGAAAAAAATAAGCTATTCAAGCAGGGTTTCCCAGGAGATTTGGATCTTAAGCCTTTTCCAGTTGCCATAAGTGTCATCTGAAACCTTTTAAGATTAATGGGTCAGAGACCTGAGAGTACTTGATTATTTGACATCATTTTGGTCATTGACATATGATCCAGTAGAGGTTGTCTGTTGGATGGGCGATCAGATAAGCATTAAGCTATATGCACATTTCCTTTAATTATTAATATATTACTATATAAGGATCAAAAGTGTAACATATATAGATCATGTTGTGATTATTATTAAACATGCAATTTCAACAATAATATTAAGCCAATATTTCTCCTTTGTGCAGGTTTTGTTCATTTTTGCTTATAATATAAAACCTATCAAAATTATCAACATCAATTCTTTCAATTCAGCTTACATAAACTGTGGTTATTTGTGGATTCCACTAAACAGGTAATTTAATTTGTTTTGTTTCTTGTATGTTTGATTTCATACAAAATGTGTGCCTTGTTGATATTTTGTGGTCAAGGTTAACAAGCATAGTCAAAACAGCCATTTATCAATGTTCAAAGCAGTAACAAAATCAAATAACCTATGCACAGCAGGACCACATATGTGACACATTATCCATAGGTTATAATTTCTATTTCTCCTCCAGCTACATTGTCAGTGCCCCAAACCTTGTTATCTGATAATCAAGGGTGACTTTAAGGGTGGTATGAGAGGAAAGTGGGAATTAAGTACTTTATCTACAGAATACTAATCATTAGCTTTTGGATTCCAGCCAATGCAAACTGAAGAAACATCTGTGGTGTTACATTGGGGAATTTAGAAGTAATGAATAAGTAAATTAGTCTGGAGATCAAATGTCAGAAGATGACATTTATCAAATAAGAAATGAGAAAGTACAGGTAGCATCTATAAAACCAGGATCATTTACCAGCCAAAAATCTGAAATGCTCATATTTTTAATATTAAACATAATCTAAGTTATGTCAGAAAATTATAAGATAACATAATTTACATTTAAGACTATCTATCTATCTATCTATCTATCTATCTATCTATCTATCTATCTATCTATCTATCTAT